TAAATAGGCCCCTTTGTCATTCGAAATATTCATTCAGAAATTAATAGAAAAACCGAACTTTTGTTCAAACACTTTGCCTTAGATATCTTTTCGATTTCTTTTGCAATTTTATCGTTTCAAGGGGTGCGGTTGTGCAAACCTTGAGACACCTATCGGCGATTCAAGGCACTGGTTTGTGGCTTATCGGCAATCGGGACACGCGATCTTCATCACACGGGCACGGCACGCGCGACTGGCGCGGCTGGTGACCCTAGCCGGTCCTTTGCCGAACTTCCGGCAACTTTTCTAGGGACTACTGAACCCAAACAACCTAATATGACATAATATACTCAAAAATGCCAAAAGTCTCTGAGAGACCTCGGTTGGATACGATGGTGGGCTTATAGGGTCGATTAGGCACGAGGCCACCCTAGGGCACGAAAATGAACATGCTCAACATGCAAAATGGCTTAGGGCCGAATGATATACATCACAAATCATGGCTAATGAGGCTAGGACAATGGCTATAACATGCATGCACATATACTTAGGTTCGGGGGTGAAAATGGCTCGATTTCACTTATTAAATTGACCGAACAAATGAACTCAAAGCATGAAACTGTTTTAACCATGTCATACTCATGATTTTTGAGGATTTTTAAGATGCTAAACTCGGCCATATCATGCATGAACATAAACTTACGAATTTAGGGCTCATATGATCAAAAATTCATATCTCCTTATATCTCACATGCATGGCATCATTTTCCACATGATAATTCTTAAAATACCATGTTATGGCTGAGGAAAAAGGGTGGCACGAGCTTACCTCCTTCAAACTCGAAAATGGTGGTGATGTCCGCCACTCGTGCCTACACGCGGCTCCTCGAGCTTTGACTTGTTCCAACGACTATTGGCTGCAAATGATGGATTCTGGGAACTCCTAAAAATCCACAAAACACTATGGAGTGGCTGAGCCCCGAGAGAAAATGGCTGGAACAAGGTGCACCTATCAAACTCCTCCACCCGGGCTCACGCGCGCGCAGCAAATGGTTGGGCTTGCTCTCGGTTTCTCAACTTTTCCCTCACTATCTCTTATGTGTTTAAGGTGTCCAAGAGTTGGGGATGGACTGAGGATGTCCCCTATATGGAGAGAGGGGCGGAGTACACAAGGTGCCCAAGGGGACAAGGCACAACATCACATGCGCACATGGGACAAAGGTGATGAGGCTTGGGCTGACTTTGCACGGTCTTGGAGGGAATATGGCAGGGTATCCAACAATAAAATATGCCTTGGACAGGTCTTGGTCGGGTTGGAGGTAGTGGGGGACAAGGCACAACATAAACAATTGCATATAGCCCCTCCACTCACAATTAAATAATCATTAATGCCCATGTGACATCCTTAATCCTTTCTTAGGGCACCTTAAGCTGAATTAGTCCTTAATCCACCCCTTAACACACGCATGAAGTTGGGCCCTGGAGAAGTGGGCCGAAATTTATTGATTTGGGCTCAAGAAGTGGGCAGGTACGCTGCCAGCGCTGGGCCTGGGCGCTGCTGGGCCCTGGGCGCGAGTTGGGCGCGGGAACTGCTGGGCTGCGCGTGCTAAAAGGCTTGGGCCGAGAATGCCACATGCTTAGGGCTGGAATAAGACTCTCCATACTTAGAAAAATTCCAAAGGTGTTTGGCCATGACTTGGGCCATCGTGCTTGACTCGCGCTAGGCTAAGGTGCGGGCACTAGGGCGCGACACATGGCCCGGGCTCGATAAAGCTTGGACCGAGGTCTTCCACCTTCTAGGGCTGACCTTAACTGTCCAAAACACTTCGGAAAAATTCCCCTTTATCACTCGGTCGTGACATGGTGCGGACTTGGCACGGATTTTGGGTCGAACTTGCGAACCCTAGGCGCGAGTGATCCCGGGCCACGCACGAGCTAGGTGCGGTATATATGACCGAGGGAATAACATCCAAGACTTGATAAAAATGATCTCATACTTAGAAAATATTCTAAGTAAGGCTATGAGCATGGCTAGGGCTTGAACAAAACTCGAGACTACTATGGCTCGAGAATTGGCTAGGCGCGAACTAGGCGCGATACTCGTGACCGAACAACTCGGTTCCGGACACGGCTCGACCTAGACGATTTATCGAAACATACTCGGTTTCGATTATTCGTCAACTGAAATAATCAATTCCGACTGAATAAAATCCATTTAAAATAAATGGACCGGAATTAATAACTGAGATTGAATAGCTGATAACTGGGCTCGGAACTCAAGACGAGCAGTATTAATAAAAAGAAATAGTTCAACTGGGAACTAAAAACTGTCATTTTTATTAATACAGAACTGGGCTATTACAAATATGATGAATTGTCTCATATTTTTGTAGATATTATTGGATTGGTTGTCTCTATAGAACCTATTCAAATGAAGATTGTCAAGGGAGTTCCTACCCAAATGATCATCTTCTCTTTTATGGAATTAGAGTCAGAATCCTTAACATTATATATTCATATTGTTGATCTATCAGTATATATAATAATTGTTTTGATTTTTTTTAACATATAAAATGCTTTTTAAATTCTTTTTCGCCATTATGTAGGAAAAACATGAAGAAACCTACTCATTCGGGCCAATATGTTGACCAGTTGATTGTTTTTTATCATCATTACCAAAATCAAGAAGAACCTTTTGGCCTCATCATGCCAATGTACCGTGCGAAGGAGTGGGGATGTATTTCATTAATTTTAATATAATTAAATTCAATAAATAACTCGACATTTTTTTGTTTTGACCGGCTAATCCAACATATTTTTTAATTAGGTGAAGTTTGAATAACCACATCAAAGATGTGACCCTACTCATCGATGTTGATGTTCCCGATATTCAAGATTTTTGTAGGAGGTACATATCATTTGACAAGAAAGTGTTCGATAATATAGAGATTTTATTTTCATTAGATTTAGTAATTAGTAATGGCATGATCTTTTCTTTATTATATAATTTGAATTTTAATTCAAAACTGCTTTTTAAAAGGGGCGAAAATAATAAAGCCCCGTACATCGCAATAAAACGAACAAGTTTTAAAAACATAACTTTGCCTGGAGACATGAAATCCCCTCTATATATAATTTCAGAATGCACTGAGCCACGTGGCAAACTCTCATGCTTCGAAATCCTATTTGGCAAAAAATCATGTTTTGGAGTTAGACTTGGATATAAATTAATATTTATATTAATTGTATTTTAATATTGTTTCCTATTATAACCATTGAATTGAAAATATATTTTAAAAGTTTATAACTTTTGTATTTCTTATCGGTTTTACATATATAATATATCAAATTAATCATCTTTTGATGAGCTTCGATTTGACATCCATATTATATATATAAAATAAATAAATTATATTTATCTTTATAATAATAAAAATAATTATTTACTAAAATTAATTAGAAAATAAAATTATTATCAATTAATATATTTATGTTTAATGTAGTTATATGTTATAAAGTAGAAAATTTATTATAATATAACACATGTAAGTCGCACAAGTAATATTGTCATACTAAAATATATAATAATATATACTCCCACCTATTTTTATTATTTCTCACTTTGGCTTAATTGACCATTGATAAAATAAATGTCATTTTACATATTTTGTTTATATTTTTTCATTTTTAACCCTCCATCTAATATTTCTTCATATCCCATCTCCATCGTTTATCATAACATCCATTAAATAGGGTTAATCAAATCTAATTGGTATGTTGTCAATGTAATAAAAATAAATAATTATTTATATAAATTCTAAAATTACATAGAAAGTTAAAAAACTGTGAAGTACGACTGATACGACACTTGATGTAACTATAAATTATATTATAAAGTAATAGAAATTGGTATGTATTCTTTTAAAAGTGATATTTATTTCAAATCTAATTGGTATGTTGTCAATGTAATAAAAAAATAATTATTTATATAAATTCTAAAATTATATATAAAGTTAAAAAACTGTGAAGCACGACTGATACGACAATTGATGTATTAGGCATCTGATTAAGTAAAAAATTAATCTATTTTGTTTAATATTAAATAAACATATTCTACACTTATGCATATACATATCACCATATTATTTCTATTTATTTAAGATAGATACTTTTGTACTTATGTAATAGTAAATAATATTGATATTTTTATATGATACAAGTAAAAATATTCAACACGGGTTGACATTTTCATTTAATATACGGGTGTTTAACTGAAAATGATCAAATCAGTGGGATTTCGGAACCGCAAAGTTTGGATGTCAAAAAAACTCGAGTTGAACAGTCCAAACCCGAGAGTCCATCAATGGTTGTTATTCTTTTAGTTACAATGTCGTCATGTAACTTTGATGAATAACAAAATGATCGAAAATCACTTGATAATGAATCATTACGAGCAATTATTTGACATCCATATTTTATATATAAAATAAATAAATTATATTTATCTTTATAATAATTATTAAATTATTTATTAAAATTCATTAGAAAAATAAAATTATTTTTCAATTAATATATTTATGTTTAATGTAGTTATGTTATAAGTTAGAAAAATTATTATAATATAACACAGTAAGTTGCACAAGTAACAAGTGTCATACTAAAATATATAATAATATATATTTTTTTTTATAAAAAGACCACTTTTTCTCATTAATTATAAATTTTAAGAAAAAAAAATTAGCAAACACCCGTGTAATACACGGGTGTTGTACTAGTTGACAAATAAAATGAACAAGTTTTGATATATATATTTTCTATGAAATTAAAAAATAAACGACTATAGATGGCTCCATAAAGAAACCATCCGATGTTCCAAAGAATTTCTACAACTCTTAATATATATTTTCTTTCCTTTTTCTTTCCTGTTTTTTTTCACTTTTTCATATCAGAAATTAATGGAAAGGCAAGATCGGAAGGTTTTCTCTCCTTGGAGAAAGCAACGAGAAAGTTATAAGTGAAGTGTTTAGTCATCCGTCACAGTTAAATTAAAAAAGCTACAACCAATTTCACTATATCCCTCAAGGTGGCAGATGAATATCAGAAAAGTATCACTCTATATGCAATGGAAGAATTTAAACAATACAAAAATAGTGCATAAAACAACATTTCACTCTAGGAGAGGTCTGACTGCTCTCAACCATACAGGACCCTTTATTCCTCATATGAAGAGATATGGATAACTTTTCAGCCTCCAATCTTCTGGTCGCATATGCTCCAATCCACAATAAGCAGACAACGAGGTAGGCCAACAATGTAAGAAAGGCTCACATCTTACATACCAAAAAAAAAAGAAGGAAAAAAAGGAAAAATATACATATATAACATAATAATTAGAAAACAAAAATAACAAATAATTCGTATTCCGTGGATAAGATATCTTCATCCCCTCCAGACCTTGCAGAAGCCTGTCTGCAGATAAAAAAATCCACCCAAGAAAGAAATCATCAGCATCAATTTACTTGGAACGTTTTGCCTTCATTTCAGCTGCAGCAGATTTAGCAGCTGACTTGGCCAGTGCCGTGGGCTTAAACGCACTTTGTGGATTGAGTGCCTTCCGAATCTTAAATACAGCCCAAGCAGTCCCCACAGCATGCCCTGCAGCATCCAGTCCTTCACTAGTGGCCTTAGCTGCTTCTTCCCCATACCTTATAATAACAGGGAGATGAAAGATTCAAAATTAGGATCTCAGCTTGACTTCATATGACAAAGTGGACGGAATTTCAGTTGGATAAAATATACTGAGGTTACCTGTGGGAGACGAGTCCAGTGGTCACGGTAGAAGAAGTTGACATCACATTCTTTCCAGCTACTTCAACAGCATCAAAGATTCTGCCTGTTACCAGATAAAAAAGCATAAAGGTGAGGCTGGATCCAAAGGGTGCAAATTATTTACTTTGCTAATATGAAAAATACAGCAACCAAGCTTATTTTAATCCAAAAAGCTTAGGGCATGTTTGTATACAAATATTTCCACTCAAAATGAGTTTTTTTGGTTAATCAGATTTTTTTTTTTGGAAGAAGTGGTATGGTTAGTTGTTAGTGGGATTTTGATATTATAGTAAAATAATTTTTAAAATAAAATAATTAAAGTTGATTTTATGTAAAAGTAAGAGAGAGATGATTTGAAGTGATAGTTAGTTAAAATTATGTGAGCGGTTGAATAGTAAATTAAAGTTGATGTGATGTGTAAGAATGATTGGTTGATATTATTTAATAATATTGAGAATAGCGAAAATTGAGTTAAAGTTGAGTTAGATTTTAAGTATGGATTGAGTTTTTTTTTTGTGTACAAACACACCCTTAGGAAGTTGGAACTGAGTTGACAAAATGAACCAGCTTCGAAACAAATAACATCAAACAAAACACATTTGAATAACTAGGATTTCTGTAGAGAAAAAAAGGAAATCACATCAGCCATGGATTTGGAAAGATTATTTAAGATGATATGATCCAACTGAAGACATGATTGAAGTGTTAGTTCAAAAAAAAAATTGGAACCATTTTCATTTGGTATATCCTGGTCTAAAAGAGAAAACATAAGAAGATGTGGAGATACTATTGGGTGGTGTTTAGTTGTAAACCAACCATCATCCCATACCAAAAGCATGCATACACGAACAGCACAAAATATAGAGACAGAGATGCTTGACATACTAAATCCATCAAGAGAAGCAAGGACCATTTCCCCAGGCAAGAGGTTAAAGAACTTCTTCCCTACTTTAGAGTTTGCAACAGAACCAGTAAAATATCCTGAGACCTTCACAACTCCTGAAAGAACCCCAGTTGCCACTTTCTCAGTCATCTTAGTCACCCTCTTCACCCTGCAGAGATAAACACACAGACCACAATATACATACACAAGACAGAATTGTTAACTTAGAGAATCCAAGCTACCAACGAGTATATAAAGTGAAGTACGTCCAAATGATAGCCTGAAGTTGGAAAATGCTATTAATCAAGCTCATACTTCTGCTTAGAAAATGCTCTTTGTACACACATATACATAGAAAATCAGAGTAAATTGGCAGAAGCATTGACAAGTTTGCTACTTTCTATCATTAATGGTTT